ATCTTACATCAGTATTTAGTGTTAAATTGGTTAACGTGATTACGTCATTGTGGGAACCAATCAGACTTTACATGGTGCGAACTTTGACCATTAAAACTTGGAAGGATGTTTTTAACAAGGGTCAAAATTTCGTTTTTGCATAATAGAAAATTCTTCTGCTTGCTTTCACTTCTTTTTTGTAAAAAAGGATTACCATTTTTACATGGGCAGCCCCAAACGAGAGATTGGTAATGAAGTTGTTCATTTAGTAAAAAATTTACCAGCTAATATAACTTTTAATATATACATGGATGATTACTTTACAAGCATCAATTTCTTCAAATACTTGAGGGATAGAGGAATTGGTGCATGTGGTACAGTTTGTAAAAATTCAGCAAAATTTCCTAGTGTTTTGAAACCAAAAGTGAGGACAGACTTATTTTAGAATACACTTTCTGGAGTTGTGGTTGATGAAGTTTTGGCTCTTTTATGGATAGATAATGGTCCTGTAACAATGCTTACCACAATTCATGAAATTACAGGTCCAAATTCTCTATTCTGAAATAATTCCTTGGCCAATTCATTCTCTAGCTTTGTCAATCTCTCTGAATAATTAATTTTTCACAATGTTGATAATTTCTTCACTTGATTGCAAGTTGCCTACAAGAAATGAAAGAAATTAAGCATAATAATAAAAGTCTTCTCAAATATGGGTAATCTTGTTGTGATAACTTTCAAATTAACTACCCACCTTCCTAATATAGACATCTATAAGGTCAATGATTATCACATGGCTTTAAAAGTTTATAACTCCTTGTTAAAAAAGAAGGAAAAAAGTAAGCTGATAGAATTAAAACTAAATATCTAAGCTTCATTTCCATCGGTTTACTTATTAAAAAATCTTTGAGTTATAAGGCGGACCATTTTATATTAATATTATTTCGGAATGATTTTCCTTGTGATTTCCTAAAAGGCTGATGATTTTTTCGTGATACAGAAAATGACTTGTTGAATAAAATTCTGAAATTTTGTAACACAACAGGAAAAATAATTTTTTCTCAACTCACATATAATAATAATAAAAAGAAATTGAAAATGGATTTTCAAAATCGACCAGGTTGGCATCATATTACATTTGGAAAAAAAACATAGAACCTTTCTTTTAATTTATTTGATTTTTTTGTTTTATTTGCAAATATACAGGATCAAAGGTTGGTAGTGGTGGTGTAGCTGGATATTCAGAAACAAATGTAGATCGACGTGAACGTCTCCGAAAACTTGCATTGGAAACAATTGATCTGAATAAGGATCCATATTTTATGAAAAATCATCTTGGTTCTTATGAGTGTAAACTTTGTTTAACTTTACACACTAATGAGGGCAGTTATCTTGCTCACACTCAAGGTAAAAAACATCAAACAAATCTTGCTCGTAGAGCTGCACGTGAAGCAAAAGAAAACAACAATATACAACCTGCCTTACAAAATCAACCAAAAATCCAAATAAAGAAAAATTTAGTAAAAATCGGTAGACCAGGTTACAAAGTGACAAAAGTGAGAGATTTAATCACCAGACAACTTGGTTTATTGTTCCAAATTCAGTACCCTGAAATTGGATTGGATGTTATACCTCGTCATCGATTCATGTCAGCTTATGAACAAAGAGTTGAACCACCAAACAAAGCACATCAATATTTGCTTTTTGCTGCTGAACCATATGAGACAATTTCATTTAAAGTTCAAAGTAAAGAAGTTGATAAGGGCGAAGGAAAATTCTTTACACACTGGGATCCTGATTCAAAACAGTTTTCATTACAATTCTTTTTCAAGAATGATAGACCAGGAATGTACTCTGAAGGTGTTCCACCTGGAATGGAAAGACCTCCTATTGCGAATCCATTAAATCCATTTAATGCACCAACTATGCGTGGACCTACTTATGTATAGCTATTGTGGTAATAACATGATTGATTTATACTTTTTTATATATCATAATTATAAACACAAATCAATATAATCAATTAATAAATTTGTATTCTTTTTTTTTTTTCTTAATTTGAAAATAAAATTAACAATGAAGATTTTTTAATAGAAATATATATATATATAATATATATATTCAATTCTATATTAAGAATGTTTTTATTGACAAGAAAGTATTCTTTTTGAATTAAAAAAAACATGTGCATATCAACAAAATATTGAATTTTTGTAATGAATGCATTTTTCTAAGAATGTGGGGTTTGCTGGTGATTTTTTGGTAAGTTTATGACGATAAGAACGTACATATTTAGATGGGCCTAATTTAACAGAAGATTCACAATCATACAATTCGTCGTCTGATGACTCTTCATATTCATTATCCGGTATAATCAATTTATCTCGTAATCTCCCTATATTTTTAAATGATAGAACCAATTAAAAAAAATTAAATTAAATAGTAACAATGATCTTGATAATTATTTTTTATATTACTTGATTTTCTTTTGTCTGGATCATCTTTATCAGAATCTTCATATGAAAACTTCCCCCCTGGTATTTCTAATTTTATTTTTTTTTTTTTCAAATGATTAATAAAATTTTCAACAAATATATGTAAAAATAATTTTATATATACCTTGTAATGGTACACTAGGTGTATGCCGTGATCTATCTAGATTTTTAAATACCAAATTCCTAATTAAGAATTCGAATTAGTAAATCAGTTTGTCAAAAAAAATTTTTACCAACCAAGTTGTCAAAAAAAAAAAAATATTATTTTTCTTTGAGGAAAAAATTTTTAATTAAACATTCTTATAGTAAGTAGTACTACATTGTTTTTTCTAAATATTTTCTTGTATTTTTATTTTCCATGTTGCTTGGCAATACATCTAGTTTATACTCAGATTTTTAAATACCAAATTCCTAATTAAGAATTCGAATTAGTAAATCAGTTTGTCAAAAAAAATTTTTACCAACCAAGTTGTCAAAAAAAAAAAAATATTATTTTTCTTTGAGGAAAAAATTTTTAATTAAACATTCTTATAGTAAGTAGTACTACATTGTTTTTTCTAAATATTTTCTTGTATTTTTATTTTCCATGTTGCTTGGCAATACATCTAGTTTATACTCTGGTCCAAAATAATCATGAAAGTCATAGTCAGTTCTTGGTGGCAATTCTAAATAAATAAATAACAAATAAATTATATGTATGTATGCATGCATTTGTGTTCCAACAACATGTATATTTATGCATAGAAAAACCTGGTCCAATTTCTTGTCCAACTACCACTCCAGTTTCATATGCCCAAGCTCTAGACACATTACGTATAGTATAACCACCTCCTCCTAATATTAGCATCGGTATATTGAACTTTTTTACAAATCGTACACAATGTGCATGCCCTTTAAATGTTATTTTTATTTATTATTATTTATTTTGATAAATGGTTTTATTTCATTATTATTAACATTTTTTACCTTTGGATGATAAATTGAAACAACCAAGCCGATCACCACTTAATGAATCGGCTCCACATTGTAAAACAATTACTGAAGGTTGATACCATCCAATTACATATTCCACAACCTAAATAATAATCAATATATGTTTTTATGTTAAATCATAAATATAACTTTTTATATTTTAAATATAAAAAAAATTTCTATCTACCGGCTCAAACACAAATTTATATGTTTCATCATCAACCCCTTCTCTTAAAGGGAAATTTACTGCGTAATATTTTCCTTTGCCAATACCAACATCCTGTTTATGTTTAAAATAAAGGAAAAAGTGAATCAAATATCACAACATTAAAAAAGAATCAAGACCATCTGAAAAAAAAATTTTTTAAAAAAGAAAATTTCATATGATTCATTCTTAATTATGATAGAATAAAAACAAACATACATTGACATCTCCGGTTCCTGGAAAAAATTCTCCATAATTATGAAAACTCAGCGTCATCACTCGATCTGTTTTATAAAATGCCTCTTCTACACCATCTCCATGATGAATGTCAATATCTATATAGAGTACACGTTGATGAAACCTGTTGTTATCAATTAAAAAGAAAAAATATGTTATTTTTTAACCTTTAAAAAAAACTTAAATTTAAAATATTTTTCCATACTAGAATATATTATATTTTTTTATACCGTAATAATTCTAAAATAGAGATAACTATATCATTAACATAACAAAAACCACTAGCTTCTTGTTTTTTTGCATGATGTAATCCTCCTGCCCAATTAACAGCTATATCACATAATCCATAATTTAACCTTGCTGCACCCTCTTTTTAAAAAATGAACAACAATAATAATTTGATTAATATACATGGTTTTCCAAAGGAAATAATATTTTTTTTGCTATATGGGCTTCCCTTTGAAAAATAATTACCTAAAGATCCTCCTGTTGCTATTTTACAATAATCAAGTAATCCCATAAACACTGGACAATCTTCACCAACGTTGACTAAATGATTTATTTTTATCATTTATATTAAAAGCATAATACGTTAATTTGTATTTTTGACCTTTAGTAAACTAAGAAAAAGCATTATAAAAAATAATAAAATTACATACATTTAGTACATTCTTTAAAAAAATAGTCCTTATTATCTGGTGTAATTTTTTCCAAAAAATTTATATAATCATCTGTGTGAAATTGTGTTAATTCATCAAATGTACTTGGTCTAGGTCTCTATAAAAATTTTATTTTTAAATTATATTTATTTTTTTTTTTATTATTTTTTTTTTTTTTAAAAAAAATTTAATTTGAATAATTTACTTAAGGATTTCAAAATAACAACAATAATGATATAAAGAACTGCTAGAAGCATGATTCACATAAAGTTTAAAGGTTCAAAATAGATAGGATACAAAGATTTCCATTTTCTTGCACAATCCATATTTCATAACTAGATCATGAGTCATCCGTACTCTTAATGTTTTCATCGGATGATTTGAACCATGATCAAACCCAATGATATCATCTATATACAAAATAAATTAAGAATTGCTCCCATCAATATATATATAAATAATCACTCGATGTTTTATCAACAACTCCTTTCTGTAAGTTTACAAAAAATAATATCAGATAGTTACTTACAATCATAAAAATAGTTTATTCTTTTTTTTGTTTCGGTAGTCATACTTTTTTTAAAAAAATATCGTTCTATCTTTTAGAATATTTTCTTTTCTATCTAAATATTTAATTAGTTTTTTTTATAAGATTAGGTGCTACTATTGTACTTAATTTTTTTGTCAATTGGTCATCGATCATGGTGAAAAGTAGGGATGGGAACGGTTCAACCCAAACCGGTTCAACCGGCGGTTCGAAACCGAACCGATGCGGTTTGGTTTACACATTTCAAACCGCGGTTTATTGTGGTTTGCAAAATAGTTGATTTTTGCAGATCCGTGTTACCCATAATTTTTTTTTTACAAAATTCTCTTATTGCGAAAGATAAATATTATAAAACTCTTAATTTTAATATTTTTTAATTCAGTTTTTTATGAACTTTCCCTAATTAAACTTTATAATATAATCTATAGAAATCTCAAATGTGATTGAATATAAAATATTTAATGAAAAATAAGAAAATATATATATATATATTTTATTTTCAATTGAAATTTTTTGAAATTTCATTGATCCCTTCCCAAAACTACCTATTTTTTGTGAACTTTTCCTAATTAGTATATACAATAAAATATATCAAAATTTCAAGTGTGGTTAAATGTAAATTATTTAGTGAAAAGTGAGGAAAACCATGTATTTATTGTTTTCTTTTCAATTGAACTTTTTTGAAATTTCCCAAAATTAGCAACACTATTTCTCATTTTTTTGTGAACTCTAATTAGCATCTATAACATATTATATCAAAATTTCAAGTGTGTTTAAATATAAAACATAGTAAGAAAAGACTGATGATAATGTTTTTCCAATGAAATCTTTTGAATAATTGCTAATTATAATAATTATTTTTCAAATTTTGTTTAGCCAGGGATAGATGAACAAGATATTGTTTCAAGGGAATATTTAATTGGGACATGTTTTTTATGTCAAATCTGCCTTAGATGCAAAGTAGATTAAAATTTTCTAGATTGTGATTGTGAATTGGAAAAAAAATCTGTTAAAAAAAACAAAAACAAAGATTTAATTCAAGAAAAATTGATCTAACCTCAAATACTTTAAAAGAGCAACAAATACTTTTATTGAAAGAAAAAAATAGATATTATGAATATGGTTTTAGTTTCACCAAAAGTTTTTCTTTTTTTTCTTTGTAATAGCTGTAATTCAAACCTTCCTTCATAGATCAAAATATAAAATACATACAACTCTACCAACTCAAGAATTCATTACTGCTGCTACTATTACTCAACTAAACCAAGAATTCATTGCTGTTGCTACCACTACTCAATTAAATCAAGAATCTACTACCACTACTACTACTCAACCAACTCAAGAATTCATATTTCAATAAAAAAATGTTATCATTAGTCTTTTCTTACTATGTTTTATATTTAAACACACTTGAAATTTTGATATAATATGTTATGGATGCTAATTAAAGAGAGTTCACAAAAAAATGAGAAATAGTGTTGCTAATTTTGGGAAATTTCAAAAAAGTTCAATTGAAAAGAAACAATAAATACATGGTTTTCCTCACTTTTCACTAAATATTTTACATTTAACTACACTTGAAATTTTGATATATTTTAATGTATATACTAATTAGGAAAAGTTCACAAAAAATAGGTAGTTTGGGGAGGGATCAATGAAATTTCAAAAAATTTCAATTGAAAATAAAATATATATAATTTTATTTTTCACTAAATATTTTATATTCAACCACTTGAGATTTCGATATATATATTATAAAGTTTAATTAGGAAAAGTTCATTAAAAAACTGAATTAAAAAAATATTAAAATTAATAGTTTTATAATATTTATCTTTTGCAACAAGAGAATTTTGTAAAAAAAAATTATGGGTAACATGGATCTGCAAAAATCAACCATTTTGCAAACCACAATAATAATTAATACATTATTGGGAATTAAAACATTAATATCACATTGTAATTTATTTTTAAATGAGGAACATGAGAAAGTAGTGATGGGCGTAAAATTATTTTGAAAAATGACCAAGTTATTAAGTGTTAAAAACACAAACATGCAGATCTCTTATTGGTAGCAAATCTGTCTGTTTAATCAAATATTAATTTGATAAACAAGTTAATAATTAATTTAGTACTGTGCATAAAATTCAGTGTGCAGAGTGTGCATGCTAACCAAATCTGCTGAATTTGGTTAGCACAGCACATTCCACATGCTGAATTCTATACACTGGGATTGATTGACAAAATGGATCTTTTGGATTAATAACTCTCACTCAGAGTGCAACGTTTAATAAGTGGTTATTAACTATTAATAACTTGGAGTTATAAGTGTAGGGTTAAAAATTCCCATCACTGCCTACATAGGTTTATGTATGATTTATTTTCCTGATAGAATTTATACTTTTAGATTACATAACTACTCCAATTATCCTATGTGAATTGAAGTTATTGAGTAATTAGAAAGTTACAAACCAGGGAAATAAAATAAAATGTAACATCACATAATATAAGTAGTACAATGGTGGACTAATTTGCTAAACTTTGAACCTGAAATTCTTGGGTTCACTTGTTGAGTATGTCTCATATATAAATATGAAACAATAAAATATAAATCTAAATGTGATAATAACATGGGCAATGCCACCACTTAATGAAGAATTTAGAAAAAATTTTCCTTTATCCAAGAATTAAATTTGGATTTGATGGCTAGCACATTTCTTCTTTAATGTAATGTCATCATTTACATATCTCATAAGGAAAAGTAGGTCAAAATTTCCCAATGTTCAAGTCAATCACTCTAAATTTGGAACAAGACAAAATATAATTTTGGAAAAACAATTAACAATGTAATTGAATGTATTTTATAATATAAAAGAGGACTGTATTAGAGGTTATATATAAGGATGTTTGTATTTTTAGTTGGAGGTTTGTGGAATCTCCATACCTTGTCTCAAAATAATTGATTCAAGTATTATCTGTGTCCCACAAAATCCAAGGTATTTTTGGTTTTAAAAATAATCCGCTTATTTATTATGCAATAATAGCTCACATTCACTTCCTGTTTTACAATTAAAAAAAGGCAATTGCAACACGCCAATTAAAATTAAAATTATTATTCTTTTTTTGGTAAAAATTTTCCCAGTCTAGATATTTGCATATACACTCACCTACCGACCACCTGAGTTGTGTAATGTCAAACGAAAAGAGTCCTTACTAAAAAGGCAACCTTTTCTTAAATAAAACCTTTCTTAATTTACTAAGTAGACCTGTACTTGATATCAAAATCTCTAAATTACAAAAACTTTGAAAGGTTTGGTATGTTATTAATGGAAACATTAGTCCAAAAAAGCAAATTTTCAATCGGAATCTTTAATGTAATAAAAGGTCAAATTTCTTTGTTGTGATGTATATTATTTCATTAATAAAACGTGCTCAGCGTAATGAATTACATATATCTACAATACAGTGTCGGCATAAATTAGTTCGTGAAAGGGGTTTAAAAAAGTATCCGACCACTCGTAATTTTATAAAACACTTAATAAAGTTGACAAAATGAAAATTAAGGTTTTACGTTTTGTGTCAATACTTGATCAAATTTTCTCAAATTTTAACCATATACAATTCAAGTTATTTTAAGCGGACTTAATTAATGACATAATCCACGATTCAACAGTTTTGAACTTTTTTACTAAGCTCAAAGTTTTCATAAAAATCACGAAATTTTTTTGTCTAATTTAAAATTTTCATCCTAAATTCATTAATAATGCAAACTCGACGAGACTTTAAGTTTATATGCAA